GGCGGGGCGGGGGAAAGACGATCGGTCGACCCCGACCACTTTGGTCGAGACCAGATTGGCCAGACGGCGGCGGCTGCCAGGACCACAGGGCACCTCAGGGCACCTCAGGGACCACCGCAACGACGTCATCGCATCGTGGAGGGGCAGATCCGCACACATGCGATCGAAACCACACAAGGAGGGAATTTAAGAATTTAAGAATTTTATTAACGACCAATACAAAGGAGGGGGGGGGGGGAGGGTCATGTCAGGATCTGGAATGATTTTCGCTCAGCTAAAATCTTCACACTCGGCCGGTGTACGACGTGATCGAGCAGCCTTCGCGGTCCGCGCGCCCGTAGCCACCAGCGCCGTTTGAAATCAATCTGCCCCGTACTCTCACCAGCCTACTCCGCTGCTGCTGCACCGCGGTGGTGCAGCCGCTGCAGCCCACAAACGGGCCGAGCCTGGGCGCCCCGTTGGCGGTGTCGGCGAGCGGTTGCGGGGCCGACCGTGCTAGGCCAGGCCTGGCCAGGCTCGGTATGGTCTGGTCAGCGGCCGACCTGTCAGCGCAAAGGACCGGTGGTGGCGGCCCCGCAACCGCGCGCCAACACCGTCTCAAACAACACCGACAGACGCTCATTTCTTTTTCTTCCTGCTGCAGAGTGGCTTGTGATGGATGTGGAGGGTTAGCGAGGGCGGCAGGGGGCCCCCGTGCTGACTGCGGCCGGGCTCGCTGGGGCATTCCCTGAACAGGTCGGCTCGGCTAGGCATTCCCCTGTGCAGGGCGGGACGGGACAGGGAGGCATAATCATGTCCAGAGCCGAGGCCGCGCTCGGCTCGGCTCGGCCCGGCTCGGCTCAACTCCAGCAGCAGCAGCAGCAGCAGCAGCAGCAGCAGCAGCAGCAGCAGCAGCAGCAGCAGCAGCAGCAGCAGCAGCAGCAGCAGCAGCAGCAGGAGCAGCAAGGGCGTTGCCTCACCCGTGCGGTTAATTTGTCACGTGTGTCTGGCCCCAACCGCACGCTGGCCGAGCCGCCGAGCCCGAGCCGGACCGCCGAACCGAGCCGACCGACGGACACTCGCGAGGTGGCCGTCTGCCACCTGCCTCTGGACCAGTGTGGGCCACTCCGACCGCGGGCCGAGGGAAGTCCTGTCACCCCGTCCTGGGAGGTGATGTGCAATGTGCGAGGCACAGGACGTAGACGTGGGGCAAGGGGGGCTTGTTTACTTTATTGATTTCGTCAGCGCGAAAAAGAAAGACTGAAGAACATTTTCACTTTGCTTTTAAAGTCGTACATGATTCAGGATAGCGATACAATTCCTTTGATGTACGAGGAATCCTGGAATCCTTCCATGTGCGTGGCAGGGCGCCCCGCGCTCTCCACGGCCACGGCCGCGCGCCCGGCGCGTGGGAGTGGGGCCGCGGGGCTGCCGTCACCATGCAGAACCTCCCCAGCGGCCGGGCCGGGCCGGGCAGGGTCGGGCCGGTGGAAGTTTTATGGCGGTATGTCGGCTGGTTGCGAAGTTCCAGTCGCAGGATATGCGGCGCTCGCAACGCGGTGACCTGGTGCGCGCCCTCACGAGGCTCGGCGGGGCGCGGCGGGGCGCGGCGGGGCGGACGCAACGTGCCGCGGCGCGCTCCGCCGCCAGGTTTCATCACCGGCGAGCACAAGTTCACGGGCACGCCGCTGGTCCGCGCGCGGCCCAGCGTTCGCACCAATGCAGAACGCGCCCTCCCGCCCGCCTCTCTGCTCCTCGCCGTCCTCGCGGCCGTCGCATGGCGGGGGCTTTAAAATGGGCACTTGGAAAGCATTAACGGGCCTCTAAACCAGCCGCGGCTACAAGGTGCACAAGGTGCAGCGCGCGGTGCAGCCGCGGGGTTTATAATGCAGCGCCTCGCCACTTACGCCCCCCTCTCCCCCTCCGCGGGCCCCTCCTCCTGGCGTTAGCCTCCGATGCGCCCAATTGATCGGGAATTTTTCGCAATCGAACCAATCAACCGCAAAGTCAGAGAATATCGACAGCCCCACCACCACACAGCCGCGTGTAGTGGTCGTAGCCAGCTTTAGCCAGCTACCCTCCCCCTCCCCTGCCCCTTCCAACCCCTCGACGTGTAGAGAACCAGGCCACGACATGTGATCCACAGTTTTTCGGTCCGGCCAGTACCCTATCTAAAGCTTTAAAAAAAAGTAGCCGCCCTAGTTTGTGAGGCCCGTCCACCTGGGCACAATTGCAGCGTGTCCTGTCCATACGGGAAGACGGTGGTGCCCTCCCTCCGCGCCTCGCAGGCTCCGGTGGCGCCCGGCCCGGCACTAGGTCGCGATGAGGTGATGTGCACCGAGGTGGCAGAGGCAAGGGCACGCGCGCGCCCGTCCGTGTCGAGGGGAAGAGTCGGGCAGCCAGGCCAGGTGCTTCGACAGCCAGGTGTGAATGGTGCACGGAGTATGTGCCGGCGCCCCTGAGTGCGGGGCCCTGGTCCAACGGCGGCGCGGTGCGTAACGACGCACGCAATTGGCGGCCGCAATGCCCCGCGCAGAGGAATCCGTCCAATTAGCGAAAAGCCTTGGGCTGCCGGCGGAGTGGCGGGGCGTGGCGCGGGTTGTAGACTTGGCTAACCCGACGGTGACTGTCTTGCTTCCAGGCCCAGTTCGTCATGGTGTTCATCCACTCGCTGCAGGCCATCTACTACGACTGCGGCTACCCCAAGTTCATCGCGGCGCTGCTGCTCGTGCACTCGACCATCTTCTTCGCCCTGTTCTACGACTTCTACCTAACGGCGTACAGGACGAACGAGCGGCGGGCGGCCGAGAAGCTGAGGGCCGCGGCCGCCGCCAAGGCGCTGGCGGCGTCAGGCGCGCAGCCCGCCCCCAACGGGCACGCCGCCCTCGCGGCCGCCCCCGCCCCGGCCAACGGCAAGGCCAACGGCCACGCCAACGGCCTCGCCAACGGCCACGCCAACGGCCACGCCGTGGCCGCGGCCAAGAAGACGGAGTGACGCCAGTACGCCCTCCCCCCCACGAGGACCACGAGGCAGCTGCAGCTGTGGGCCATCTACCAGCAGCAGCTCACCCACCTGCACCACCACGGCCTGTACCAGCGTCCCGTGCGGATGCAGATGCCACGGGCCTGGTGCGGGCCAGACTGCGGACAGGTGAGCTACTTGAAACTAGACCTCTGGCGCACGTAGGCTAAGTACAGTAACCACTGCGACACGCCGCCCAGCTGGAAGAGGCGCAGCGGCTTGGAGTATACTCCAGGATCGCAGAGTCAGAGACATAATCAGCTCTAACAGGACAACAGGGCTAGGTCTGGGGATCGCAAAACGAATCAACCACGGCGCACGGGTCTACCCAGCCATGCAGAGGCGTCGGACGGGTCGCCTACCAAGCACGGCGACGACGCGCGGTGCAGCCACAGCCAGAGCGCAGCCGCTGTCGGGCCGAGGATCGACTCCCGGTCGGCGCTACCATTTTTTTTTCGCCACTTTTTGTCTCCCGTAAAATAGGATCGAGTCCCGCACACTCCAGACCGTGGATCAGCTGGCAGCCAAGGGTGCTAAGAAAGGCGTGGGCGATCAGCTACAATCGGCCGCGAGATCGACACCCGGTCGGTGCATTTCATTTTTTCGCTTCTTGTCTCTTGTAAGGAAGGGCCGAGTTCCGAACGACGCTGTGTAAGAACCAGCTGTCAGCCGAGCGTGCTATGGCGTCATTCACAGGCGGCCGGCTCGAGGTTCGACTCCCGCTCGAGGGGGGTCATTCTCTTTTGTCGCCTCTTGTGTTCGAGTTGTGGTCAGATTGTGCGATTGCCGCCGGCAGCTGTACTCACAATCGTTCCTTCGTGGCTAAGCCGGTAGCGTTCAGGGCCGGCATGAACCTACTCGCTGGTTCGAGTCCCGTCCCGGTTATAATTGTCGGGCTCGGCTGGCCATAACTTTTCGGCGTGCTATACTTGATGTGGTGGGCTTGTACGCAGATGGTCGCTGGTTCGAGTCTCGTCCACGGAACCCTTTTTGCCCATCTGCCGGCCATGTGTTTTTGGCTGTCAGCCACGCCACAGCGGAGATAAGCTTTAACTG